TGACATGAGCTTCCATGTTGTGGAGAGACAGGTTATTGGCCGGTAGTTGGAGGGGACTGCACCCTTGACAGGGTCCTTCATGATCAGGACCGTTCGCCCTTCGGTTAGCCATTCTGGGTGAGTCCCATCTCTCAGCAGCTGGTTCATTTGTGCTGCTAGGCGCTCATGGAGTGATGTGAGTGTCCTTAGCCAGTAGGCATGGACCATATCTATATATTTATATATATATAAAAACAGACAATATATAAACAGACAACTTAAGGCACACACAGGATCTTATCTTTATGAGAATAGAATCTTGTTTCTTGATAAATTAAAATCAATGCTCTGGGCATTATGTTGTTTGTAGATAAATGTCTCAAAGGCAGCCTTCTTAGTCAACAGTCTTATCCAATCTTCAATTTTGGGTCTGTGTGGGCTGTTAATATTATCATCAAGTATTGTCCCTCATGTGACTTATGTGTAGTTTTATAACTTTTTTCAGCCGGCCCACATGTAAGCAGGAGTTTAAAACAGTTTATTTCTGTCTAAATTACTGCTATATTTGCTCAATTGCTCACAATGAACATGATTCGACAAAAAGATCACATGAAAGTCAAATTCAGTTTATTATGAAAGCAGATAGTAACTGCACTTCCAAATATATATATCCATCCATTTTCTTCCGCTTTATCCGTTGCCGGGTCTCGGGGGCAGCAGTCTAAGCAGAGACGCCCAGACTTCCCTATCCACACACACCTCCTCTAGCTCGTCCGGGGGGACCCCAAGGCGTTCCCAGGCCAGCTGAGAGACATAGTCTCTCCAGCGTGTCCTGGGTCTTCCCCTGGGCCTCCTCCCGGTGGGACGTGCCCGGAACACCTCCCCAGGAAGGCGTCCAGGAGGCATCCTGAACAGATGCCCGAGCCACCTCAACTGGTTCCTCTCGACGTGGAGAAGCAGCGGCTCTACTCCGAGCTCCTCCCGTGTGACTGAGCTCCTCACCCTATCTCTAAGGGAGCGCCCAGCCACTCTGCGGAGGAAGCTCATTTCGACCGCTTGTATCCGCGATCTCGTTCTTTTGGTCATTACCCACAGCTCATGACCATAGGTGAGGGAGGGAACGAAGATTGACCGGTAAATCGAGAGCTTTGCCTTTCGGCTCAGCTCCCTCTTCACCACAACGGTCTGATACAGAGACCGCATCACTGCGCACGCTGCACCGATCCGCCTGTCAATCTCACGCTCCATCCTCCCCTCACTCGTGAACAAGACCCCGAGATACTTGAACTCCTCCACTTGAGGAAGGACCTCTCCACCCACCTGAAGAGGGCAAGGCACCTTTTTCCGGTCGAGCACCATGGCCTCAGATTTGGAGGTGCTGATTCTCATCCCAGCCGCTTCACACTCGGCTGCAAACCGTCCCAGTGCATGTTGCAGGTCCTGGTTCGTTGGAGCCAACAGGACGACATCATCCGCAAAAAGTAGAGATGAAATCCTGTGGTTCCCGAACCGGACCCCCTCCGGCCCCTGGCTGCGCCTAGAGATTCTGTCCATAAATACAGTGAACAGAACCTAAAGGGGCAGCCTTGGCGGAGGCCAACATGTACCGGGAACAGGTCTGACTTACTGCCGGCAATGCGAACACAGCTCTGACTCCGGTCATACAGGGACCGGACGGCCCTCAGCAGAGGACCCCGGACCCCGTACTCCCGGAGGACCCCTCAAAGGACACCCCGGGGAACACGGTCGAACGCCTTCTCCAAATCCACAAAGCACATGTGGACAGGTTGGGCGAACTCCCATGAACCCTCGAGTATCCGATGGAGAGTATAGAGCTGGTCCAGTGTTCCGCGACCGGGACGAAAACCACACAGCTCCTCCTGAATCCGAGATTCGACCATCGGACGTAGCCTCCTCTCCAGTACCTTGGAGTAGACCTTACCGGGGAGGCTGAGGAGTGTGATCCCACGATAATTGGAACACACCCTCCGGTCCCCCTTCTTGTAGAGAGGGACCACCACCCCGGTCTGCCACTCCATTGGCACCGCCCCTGATCGCCACGCAATGCTGCAGAGACGTGTCAGCCAAGACAGTCCTACAACATCCAGAGACTTTAGATAGTCAGGACGGATCTCATCCACTCCCGGCGCCTTGCCACCATGGAGGCTGCCAACCACCTTGGTGACCTCGGCCAGGGAGATGGAAGTATCCGCCCCAACATCCTCAGCCTCTGCCTCCTGGACGGAGGACGTGACGGGGGGATTGAGGAGAACCTCGAAGTATTCCTTCCACCGCCCGACAATATCCCCAGTCGAGGTCAGCAGCCCTCCACCCGCACCATACACGGTGTTGGCAAAGAACTGCTTCCCCCTCCTGAGGCGCCGGACGGTTTTCCAGAACCTCTTCGAGGCCGACCGATAGTCATGCTCCATGGACTCTCCGAACTCCTCCCAGTCCCGGATTTTTGCCTCTGCAACAGCCCGGGCCGCGGCACGTTTGGCCTGCCGGTACTGGACAGCTGCCTCAGGAGTCCCACGAACCATCATTGCTCGATAGGACTCCTTCTTCAGCCTGACGGCATCCCTTACTGCCGGTGTCCACCACCGGGTTCGGGGATTGCCGCCGGGACCAGCACCAGAGACCTTGCGACCACAGCTACGAGCCGCCGCATTGGCGATAGAGGAAGAGAACATGGTCCACTCGGACTCGATGTCCCCCTCCTCTGCCGGGACCTGGGAGAAGCTCTCCCGGAGGTGTGAGTTGAAAGTCCGTCTGACAGGGGGCTCAGCAAGACGTTCCCAGCAAACCCTCACTACACGCTTGGGCCTGCCAGGTCTGACCGGCCTCCTGCCCTGCCAGCGGATCCAACTCACGACCAGGTGATGATCGGTTGACAGCTCCGCCCCTCTCTTCACCCGAGTGTCCGAGACACGCGGTCGAAGGTCAGATGATACGACTACAAAGTCGATCATCGACCTCCGGCCTAGGGTGTCCTGGTGCCACGTGCACTGATGGACACCCTTGTGCTCGAACATGGTGTTCGTGATGGACAGGCCGTGACTGGCACAGAAGTCCAACAACTGAACACCGCTCGGGTTCAGATCAGGGGGGCCGTTCTTCCCGATCACCCCTCTCCAAGTGTCACTGGCATTTCCCACATGGGCGTTGAAGTCCCCCAGGAGAATAACGGAGTCCCCGGGCGTTGCACTGTCCAGTACCCCTCCCAAGGACTCCAAGAAGGCCGGGTACTCTGCACTACCGTTAGGCCCGTAGGCCGTCACAACAGTGAGAGACTTGCGGAGGCGGAGGGACGCAACCCTCTCATTCACCGGGGAGAACTCCAACACGTGGCGGCTGAGATGGGGGGCAATGAGTATGGCCACCCCAGCTCGCCGCCTCTCCCCGCGGGAAACACCAGAAAAGTGGAGCGTCCAACCCCTCTCAAGGAGTTGGGTTCCAGAGCCCAAGCTGTGTGTGGAGGTGAGGCCGACTATCTCTAGTCGGTATCGCTCAACCTCCCCCACAAGCTCGGGCTCCTTCCCCCCCAGTGAGGTGACGTTCCACGTCCCAAGAGCCAGATGTTGGGTGTGTGGACTGGGTCGTCGAGGTCTCCGCCTTCGACTGCTGCCCAGTCCTCTCTGCACCTCGCCACCACGGACCCCTCTGCAGGTGGTGGGCCCACAGGAGGGACTGCCCACGTCATCCCTTCGGGCTGAGCCCGGCCGGGCCCCGTGGGCTAAGGCCCGGCCACCAGGCGCTCGCTTGCGAGCCCCGACCCCAGGCCTGGCTCCAGGGTGGGGCCCCGGCTGCGCCATGCCGGGCGACGTCACGGTTCTCAATGTCGTGCTGTCCATAAAATATATATATATATATTTTATTTGTCTACGTTGATATATGTTTTTATGTATTTTAAAACATTAAAATACAATTGTCACTCTACAACGCAAAAGTTATACTCTCAAGATCATGTTTTGGGTCCGAAGTGAACACCAACAATGCTGAGTATTTGTTAACTTGAGATTTGACATCAAACATTTATTACAACATAAAGCCAGAGTACTTTCCATGGCGGGCCGATCGATGGCAAAATATTGATCAATTGTAAGTGCATCTTCAGTCGCAGCTCTGTAAATAGACTTTTAGATCAGATGAAAGGTCCAACTATATTGACTGCAATATTCGGGACCAGTACCTAATCCATGCGCGGTACTGGTTCTATGCTGATGTCCCAGCATTGTTTAAACATGATCTTTGGCATTTCTTTGGCATTTCCTGTTTCAAAGTGTGAAAGAATTCGTCACAATCAAAACATTTCAGAAACATGAAAATGTAGTCTTGTAGTAGTAGAAGTATGGAATTACATTATTCTATTCATCTAATATGGCGCGGCCCAAGAGAGGCACACCAAGCAGCACCGGGCTTGGTCCCGGCTCAGGTTAAGGTTCTCTGTTGTCAGACCAGGTCGGTCCCCCAGACATGTTCCTCCTCCACAGCGTGTGAAGGAAGCCCTCTGAGTGCAGCCCTACTGTTGCCGCTTCTGTTCTGCAGTGTAACTAGTGCAAACACACCTCTCCATAGATTTGGCATGTGGGCTAAACCTGAAGCTTTTGATAATCCGGTGTGAAAACTATGCTCTCTATGTCACACTGTGATAGTCACTTTTAATTTAATCGTACATAATATCTATTCAACTTTTTAATATGTTTGCACATTCCCTGTTTGCACAATTCCTGTCTTTTGCACAACCTGAATGATCCTATATATGCCAAATGTGACATGTACATTTCTCCATTGTGAGATATATAAAGTTTATCCTCTCTCTCTCTCTCTCTCTCTCTCTCTCTCTCTCTCTCTCTCTCTCTCTCGATCTCTCGATCTCTCGATCTCTCTCTCTCTCGATCTCTCTCTCTCTCTCTCTCTCTCGATCTAAAGCGTATCAATATAGCTCAAATCAACCTCCGGCCTGATGAAGAACAATCTTGCAGCATGATTAAAAACTCTGCCTATGTGTGTGTGCGCAGGTTACATTCACCAAGAGGAAGTTTGGCCTGATGAAGAAGGCCTACGAGCTGAGCGTGTTGTGCGACTGTGAGATTGCCCTCATCATCTTCAACAGCTCCAACAAGCTCTTCCAGTACGCCAGCACCGACATGGACAAAGTACTGCTCAAGTACACGGAGTACAACGAGCCGCACGAGAGCCGCACCAACTCCGACATTGTGGAGGTGAGCCCAGAGCGCAGGGGAGGGCAGGTACCACATACACTCGGTGCTAGAGAGCAAGCCGGGGAGAGATGTGACGCTGGAAAGTCCCACATACACTCGGAATTCTGGAGCCTCATTTCCTCTGAAACAAACAGACAAGCCCACCAGTTCTGTTCCGTGTATAGTTGAAAATAACACAATTACATATGGCCACCACCCATTACTAAATAATGATATAAATTGGATAAGTGATTTTGTTAAATTCCAAATTTTGTTTCATACTTAAGATATTTCACAGTATTCCCTTATGTCAAACCACATGCTTGGGAGGGATGTGACCATAGGGAGGTCCCGCATACACTCTGCACAAGAGCGTGTGGAAGAGGAACGTGATTGCAGAGAAAGAACACATACCCTCAGTACAACAGAGCATGCAGGGAAGGGACACGGCAACAGACCCGGGGCCGCATACACTCGGTACAAGAGGAGGGACACAACCGGCCTTGACTGAAATCGGTAGCTACAGTACATCCAACCTCAATATTGTCTCTGGGCATTATGTTCTTTGGCTTCCTCCTTCGAATGGACATCTCGTAGATGTTTCCCAGTTATCTGCACTTTGTCAGCATCTCTAACATTGTCATCCATTGGCCTCAGACTCTTGATATATAGAACAGACCTAATTAGTTGCACGCAATTAAATTAATTGAAATTAGCTACTCAACGTGATTTCCTATTATAATGAATAAGAACAAATAGTTCTCAGGTGAAATGACCTTCTTTACAATTGCATTCTGTGTTTGCAGGCGGTAATTTTCAAAAACCACAGTGCCTCCCACTGGTGGTAACATAGAGATTGGGCAGGCTGATAGCAATGTTCACCCTTAAAACTTGTTTGCCACATGTTTCATATTTCACATTTTAAAACTTGTGACATAACAAAAAGTATAATTTCAAATGGTTTCTTGTGCCAGAAAGCAGTGGGATCTGGATATCTTGAGAGCTTATGAACTCATCACAGTGAATTCATTATGTGTTGAATGTGTGAGAAGATGAGCCTGGAGTGCTGCAATTTGATTCTGAACAAATTTATCATTTTCAAACCCTCCACATACGTAGCACAGCTCTTGTTGTGAACGTCCACTTTCCCTTTGCAGCAGAAGTGATTTCCTCGTGGGCTTGTGAACACTATCTCCGCTGCTTTCTGTTCTCCGGATGGCTGTATCTCATGGCAACGCAACATTTCAGCTTTTTAGGAAATGATCAGGAGCTTGCACAAAGTCAACAAGCTGTCGTGGTCTTCTGCGGAGGAAGCGGAAAGCAGCAGCACTCGGAAAGAGAACGCACACAAATTAGACTGATTAGCAATTCAGCCTCTGCCAGACACAACGCAGAAAAGGAGCAATATTGTACAAATGTTTGCTGAATTTCACACTCGGCTTTAACTGGCTCTTGGCTCAAACACGATTTCAGTGTATGCTTAGTCGCACATTAAAGGATACTTTTACAAAATATTATTTTTGCCTTTTAAATCATTTTTCACGTTCATGGAGAATCTGATACAGTGTTGTTTAACTTTGTGAATTTGTTAGCTACATTTCCCGTCTAGTCGCTTGTAGTGAACCCCCTCAGGTTAGAATTAAAATTTTAACACCTTTTTCACATTGTCATCCGTATTATAAACCAATTTTTTTATTTCTGTTTTGTTATATCTCTCTGAGCTTGGGTCCTCTATCAGAAACCAGTGAGCAGTATCTAGCACTGCATATTTCTGGATCCAGATTTCTGAGGTTGTTCCTCTGGTCTGCTGTAACCACTCTTTCAGTTAGGGGGTCACTGCATCGAGTGTACCGATCACCACGGGCACTACTGTCACTTTTTCCATCAATTTCACCTCTTCGGTCTCCAACTCGTCTCTGAGCCCTTAATATTTTTCAAGCTTTTTGTGATCTTTTTTTTCTGATGTTCGATTGGTATTGCCACGTCCACCACCATGGCTTTCCTTTACCTTTTGTCTGTCACCATGATGCCATTCTGTATCTGGTCCCACAGGATACATTTAACATGTGTGCAGTAGTAGTACTATAGATCCATCCATTATATGTTTTCACATGTGCTGCCACAACCCCAGTTTGCATTATCCCATTGACATAGCTTTTTCAGGATGGCATTTAAATGCTTGATCCTGTTTTGCATTACCTTGTGGAAGAATTGTCCGGTTATGTGTGGATGACAGGTCAAATTGTGCAAATATGTGCATTTTATAAAACACCCGAGTTTGTGTATAGGGCCACAGCTTGCTTTTAGACAAGCATCTACTCCTCGGTTCGGGTGGCTCCCCTCCTCCTCCCCATCAGCATGGTACTTTTTCCTCTCTTTCTGCATAATCACATACCATGTAAATATGAGACTTGATGCAGTTTTGGTTCTTGCAAGCAGCATCAACAGATTTTGTTTTGTATGTGTATAATTTCAAACAACGTTTGAATTTACTTGTTAATTACATAGACTGTATAAATTAACGGACAGAGTCACGCCTATCTCCGCCGTTCATAGGAGTGGGCCATGAAAAGTGCTTTCATGGAGCAATCCAAGATGGCCGCGAGTCGTCCCGCCCACAAGAAAATTGTGAAAAAACGCATCTGCGCATGCGTCAGCCGGCGCAGCTCCATTCATTTGAACGAGAGACTTCAAAAATTCCCCGCGAGTAAACTAGAGTGGACCAAAAAAATCCACCCCCCTCAGCATTGAAACACATGTGGAACGGAGCTTTGGGCCAAGAGCCAACTTTTGGTCCATCCTGTAAAGACGTTTTTGAGAAGTCTGCCAACGCTATATGTTAGCATTGGCTAATTCTTCTTCTGGGTCCACCCCCAATGACCCGGAGTGGTATTGCAAGCATGTCAGCGCACGTCATTTTGGCCACTTTTGAACTGGGACCCTCCCCCACTGGTTAATTATCATATTGCATTACATAGTTGAGAAGCATTCAGTCTAATTTTGGTTCTTCCTTGACAAATGACACTGTCCCGTATGTGGCACTCCTTATGTAATCCTGTAGTGAACAGTAGACGGTGGTCTCTCTCTGTGTCCCCCCCGGGTGTACACTGGAGTACAAGCCCCTGTTGTCCCGACTCACTGGAGCGTCCACTTACTGCAAGCCCCAGCCCACCCACTGACACATGCCGCCGTTGCTCCGGCCGATACCTTCTCAGCATGTAGACTACTCTGCTCATCCCTCCGGCCAATACAATATCACCCTCCTGCACCTGTCCCTCCAGCTTATACAAAATCATCAGCACCAATTTTTGGAATGGGAAATATCAGCAGTTACCTAGTGCCATGAAGGAGAAATAAAAACCAAGTTACTTTTATGAAGCGGGCTGAACTCATCCTCTGTAACAGGAGTCAGACAATAGAATGTACAAAGTCAAGGAAGGAGAGCGCCCACCTGGTCACTGTACCAGGACACTGCCCCCTCCTGCTGCTACATCGTTATGCTCTGACCTCTGTGTTACATACAGTGCCAACCCTGTCCACATAAATATTATGGACTGTTAATTTCATTTCATTTCAATTTGTTTTTATTGTTTTAAAGGCAAAAAGACGAACACATGACATTGTGGGATAGTATATCCAGACATCTTCAAATGTAACTGTGCAATGACATAATCCCGTTAACAAAGTGAATACACAAATACAAAGTGATTGTAACACTTGCTTGGATTTTTGGTTCTGAACAGAGCATCTAATATTTTCAAGCTGGAGAAAGGACATCGTATCACTCACCCATGTTTTGGAGGTACAGCAGCCTTTCAGTTTGTAATTTTAACCAGCGTGATTGGGCTTTTGAAACAGTGGCAGTAGTTCATTTTAAATACATTTGCAGATACTGATGTCAAGTTCACAATAAAACCATATCCTGACTGAAATGAATGGCATTATTAGGATATAAATATAGAATCAGCGCAGTTTGAGTTTGAGTTTCTGACCTTGTTTAGTTTTGTATGAGAGTTCTGCTCACCTGGAAACACAACATGGCCACCGCACATGCTCCTCTCTCCAGAAGCAGAGCCAGCTCCCTGTGGCTCGGGCTGGGACTGTGATGTGGACCAGCGGAGCAGAAGTAACCGCTCTCTTCACACACAGGGTTCTGGCCTCACACAGCTTTCATTAGTCACTGCTTAACAAACGATATGGATGTCCATTTCAACATACTATCATTACAGGGATTCATGACCCAATTCAATTCAATTTAATGTATTCTTGCATAGCCCTAAATCACAACAGTTATCTCAGAGGACAAAACCGTTGAATTTGCCAACACAGATCAGATATTCAAACAGTTCAAACACAAGAAATGCAATTATAGAGAAATTGGTCCTTGTTGATATGTTGATAAATGTCCTTACATGTTTTTGGAGGTTGAGTGTTCTGGATGTCATGATTTCAAGTTTGAATCTAGATTGAACTCTAGGTTTGAACTAGGTCTGAACAAATTGTGTTTATTAAAGGTAGGGTACTGTCGACAAATGACAGAGAGTTGAGACGGTTTCCGAAGGACACATGTCCGTGGGCCTTTACTCAAGTCGTTTCAGTCGTTCTTACAGTTTATGAGAGTTCTTTCAGAGTTGTATCAGAGAGATTGAAGAGAAGAAGCATTTTTATTGGACAATCTGCGTCACAGTAAAGACGCCAACTCACAAGTGTTCCATTCCAAACAACAGAGACAAGTCGCCATGACCTGATCACTTGAATGTTATGTCTGTGTTTGTCCATTTTGTGAAGGTCATTTCTCACAGTGCCTACAATTCTTTTTGCGTACCTATAACTTTCAAACCATAAAAAATTTACTATAACATGAGACCCATGTTGCTTCCAGACCAGTGCGGGTGGGTCCCGGCTCAAAAGTGGCCAAAATGACGTGCGCTGACATACAGTACTTGCAATACCACCCCGGGCCAATGGGGGTGGACCCGGAATAAGAATTAGCCAATGCTAACATATAGCATATTCTTACC